TTTTTGGCGATCCTCGGGGTCCTCACGAGCTCAGATTGTTTCTTCAGGCGCAGTCGCTTGACATGAGGACTTTTTTATATTATGCCTTACGAGGGGCGGAGTACTTCGCACTGCGAGCGTCCGTTGATCGTCAAATTATGGAAATAAAGGAACATTCGGCTTCCCTGATGAAAAACAAGGTGAGGTCGGGAAGCAGGAGGGAAGAGGGAAACCTTAAAATTGTGGGAGGAAAAGTCTCCAGTTCTGTGGATTCCCAGTAGCAATTAAGGGCGGATAGTGAAGGGGGGGGGGGGGAGAACATTCCCAATTTCCAGTTGGCCAGTTTTTTCAGGCCATACGGAGGGAGTGTGTGAGGAGAGTACGAGGCTTAAGAGGATTTGAGCTCATATTTCAAGTACTCCTCTCTCTTTCACTATTGAATAATGGTAGGAAGATTTCTTTCGGTCTACATAATGACTGAAATTTATATGAGTAGTTCTTCTCGTCCTCCAGACCTCAATGCATTAATGCTTTCGGGGTTGCACCATCTTGCGGTTGGTTCTTTTTCCTCCGAACTAATCTGCTAGTGGTGCTTCACCTTCAGCAGTTGTGCCTTTCCGGGTAAAATACGGCTCGGCCGCACCGCAACACCCATTTATTTTTGAGTTCGAGTTACGAAATTGTGGTGCCCGCTTTTTTTTGCCCAAGTTTGTCCGGTCCTAGGTATGTTGTTTAACATTGCTAAATCCCCCTTAGCATCCCGGTCCCACCTCCTCACCTTCGCCTCTCCCCTTTTCCTGTTTTCGCCATCATGACCCCGATGTTTAAACCAAAACTCTCAGCCATCGCTTTCTCCATCTGTCTCGAGCTCCTCCTCCTTCCCCTTCAGTCACTGCAACCCTCCTCTCTATCCGGCCGAACCGCCCTATTGTTGCCAGCTGGGTCGATTTCTAACAAGATGTTCGAGATTTGGTGTTTACAAGTAGTAGAAAGCAGTGGATATGTATGCTACCGCAGAATTGGACGACACCTGTCTCCTTTCATTCACACTTTCGATTCGTTGCTTGTAAAACGATTTTTTAGCATACGGAAATCCCGGGAATTTTGCGGATGTGCTGTTCGGGTTGAGCGCTGAGGGTCTTCGCGGCCCAGCAAAGGAGCCTGCCTGGAAGCCTGTAATCTCTTGCATGTTTCAGGATAGCTTTGTTTGCTGTCATTGTATGGACAGTATTTGGTTAACTAGCGAAGCATTGGTGAACAAGCAAGACAGAATCCGGAGAAGCAGTTTACTGTGAATAGAAACAGGCCAAAACGATGGCTAATTGGGACGATCTGGATGACTCAGTGTTACTTGATGCTGATGCAGGCGTGC